ATGTATCAATTAATTTTTACAACTGCACAGTTCTTAAGCTCACGTATTAGTGTATGTCAAAAATCGTAATAGAAACAAGAAAAAACGTTAACTTCGATTGCACTCTTCACAAATAAAAAAGTCTCTTATATAAATTCAGTTTGTATGACAGCTATAAAATATTTTGGTTCGGTCTAGAAAATTTCTCCACCTTTTACAGTGTTGTATTGAAGAATAATACCAGTTAAATATCGTGAAAATATCTCGTCCAAAAAAAGTTTTCTATAAAAAAAGTTTATTTTTATCGTTCAGTTTGTATTCCAGCTATATGATATATATATACAACAGCTTCTTGGAGAGAAAAGTCGTGGGCAGAAATTTCAGATCAATATCTCAAATCGTGAGGGTTCACTCACATATTTACAGACAGTCACGGCTAAATAAACTCAGTTCGTCGCTCTGATAATGGTGATCCATTTCGAGATTCCCTACTCTTTTAAAGAAAAAACACAAAAACTTGAATCCGATTTTCGATGCCTCGTTCGAGATCACGAGCTTCAATTTCAAGCATCAAATACTCGGTTGTCATGACACGACATTGGTCGCCTTTGACGGTTATATTCTCACCTACATCATTTTTAAGGAAATATGAATTGATAAATCCACCGGCCTACAAACCACGCCAAACCGCTTCTTTTTTCTGGATAAAATTGTGGTCTTTAATCCCTTTAGGTTGCTATTCGTCCCAAATGAGACAATTTTGCTTGTTTACATACCCATTGAGCCAAAAATGAGAGGCTCACTGAATAAAATTTGGCTCGAAAACTCTAGACATTTTTGGCTCTTTTGGCTGTTTTTAAAAGTATTTGGTAATTAACTGAAAATACCGCTCATTTTTCGTTTCCTTCGAAATTCGTTGAAAACTGTACTAGTTGGAAGTTTTATAAACAAATGTTTTAGAAGTTTTACTATACATTTTTTATAAAAAAAAATCGCTAAATTCTTCTTAGTTCTTAATTCTTAAATTAAATAAAGTTTATTATACTCATTCAACATTTATAAATATAGTATAMGACATAAAAATACATATGTCTATCGATATGGTCAATGGCTTCCTTCTGAAATCTACTTATATTTGAAACATTTATCAAATATTTTAAAAAGCATTATATACAATTAAAGCAAATTATTTGGCATGCTTCTGTAACTATTTACCATGCATTTTTCTTATATTTTGCTAGCAACAAAGTCCAATTCTGTCTATATATGTATAGTATACATATGCGTCTTATTTTATATACAAAGTCATAACTTATACAGCAAGGTAATATAGCAACATACATATATATTTACATTATCCATTATCTACATATACAGTATATACGAATATATACATACATACATATAAAAGTTCATGCTGTCATACATATGCCTACTAAATATATTACACTGTACTATTGTAAAATAAACTTAGGCAAATATTTTAGATTTCAAAGATTTATGAGTTGGCATTTTTCAAATGTAACTGATTTCATTTTGGTTTGTATGTTTATATTGCAAATCTGAACTCTACCTGCTCTAAACCACCTTAACGTATAAGTGATTGAATAAAAATAAAATATATATGAGAATAATTACAACAATTTAATAAAGTATGAAAAATGTATACAAAAATTTCGACTTTTTCTTTAATAATAAGGGTCTGATCTTAAGTGTGGGATGAATGCGTATTTTAAGTCATATATTTTTSATATTTTTTTCTTTTCARAACAAAAATAAATATTTTCCAATTCAGTTCGTTTCGTCATCCTGTATGAGTCATATTGAAATTTCCACGGTGCTTACATAATTTAGAAATGGTCGTTAGACTTCAAATAACGGCCCAAAAGCCAGGTCGTCCAGAAGATAGTAATCGTGCTGGGCAGAAAAAGTCCGTGAAATTATCGCTAAAATTATGGTAAATATTCGGCCTACTGAGCATACTATTCGCAACACTAGCATCTATTTTGAGATCCAGCATTTATTTTTACATAATATTCGACCGAATAGAAGACCGCAGTGAAGAAACTCAGCAACTTGGGCTGACGTATGGAACAACTTAAATTGAAAGTTCCAAGAAGATACGATGTTTTCAAGCTAATTTTTGTTCAGCGATCAGGCCCATTTCTGGCTCAATGGGTATGTATACAAGCAAAATTGCTACAATTGGAACGAAGAGCAACTTGAAAAGATTCAAAAGCTGTTATTCTATCCAGAAAAAAAAACGATATGGTGGGGTTTGTGGGCCGGTGCAATCATCGGTCTATATTTCTTCAACAATGATGCCGGTGAGAGCGTAACCGTCAATGGCGACCATTATCTCACCATGATAACCGGCCTTTTTGATGCTGGAAATTGAAACTCGTGATCTCGCCGCAATTTGGTTTCAATAAGACGTTGCCACTTCCCACACACCGCATCAATCAATGGATTTATTGGGAGAACACTTTGGGGAGCAGATAATTTCATGTTTCGGACTGGTCAATTGGACACCAAGATATGCATGTGAAGTCTAAAGGTATGCGCACAATTCCGCTTCGATTCAGGCCTTGTAGCAAAGCATCACGTCTGTCACCAGTTGGCACGAGTCATCGAAAACTGCACTCAACAGATGTACCATCTGCCACGGGGCCACGGTGAACATTTGAAAGATAATGCAAAGCAAAAAATAAATACCAAGAATGTTCTTTCGAATGATAGTAAACATTCTCCATTAGATTTGAAGTTCTGTGTTTTTCCATTAAAAGTATATCCCAGTTAATATAGCATATAATATATCCATTATAATATTATGCCAAATTTTAAATCGGTAAACGAATTAACATACCTATAGTTTTCCGGCTGTTGGTCAAAATGTGTGATATTTTAATGAAGTTTACTAATGGAATGCTTTTGCGATGGACATGCATGAAAATGGTATACACATCGATGTGAACCTAATATCCCTAATACCATAATGATTTCCGATTTCTCCGAAATTTGCACTTTTTTACTTATTTACTTATKTAGATTAGCTTTGGTTTTTTGGCAGCAGAAAAAAATTTAATTCCCCCCGTGCTTCTCTTGCCAACTCTATAACTAAAGTTATAAACTCATCTAAAGCGTGATCTTGTTTTAGGTAGATTTTCCTTCTCTTTGGGTCAGTTTCTACCTTCAATTAATAAGTTAAATAAGAAAGCTGTACCCATCTACGGACCAAACTTACTAGTATGCATAAGTAAAACGTTTTGAACTTTTCTTTTTGGTTTTTTTAGTAAATAAAAAGTTTATATAATTATTAATTAGTTTTATTTTATTTTTTATTAAAATTACAATCATGAATGAAATAAATAGAATTTAATGAGCTTATAATGATATCGCGCATAAAACTAAGTTTATAAATTAAAATAAAGATTTTATGGAAAAATGTTTTTGTCGAATGAAGCTTTATAAGTGACTCAATAATCACTGTTGCACTAGGAATTATGGAATGGCAAAGCGGAAACTATCGACTTTGAGGGCTTATACACGTAGTACTTAATAATAAGTGCATTTTTTCGATCTATGCTGCTTTCTCGGCCTTTTCAACACTCTTGCGTCCTTGCTGACTTGCGTCGTCTTCGACAACGATCAACTGATCCGCATTGTTATCCTCTAGAGAATCAATGCCAACTTCGGCGCTGCTGCGCACTTCATTGTCGGCTTGATCAACCTCGCCACCTTCCTCTCCAGGCAGCTGTTCTGGCTCTGCCACTGCATGTGTCAGCTCATCGGTTTTCACTTCGTCAACTTTGTTGTCCACTTGTACCGGGTCTGCAGCTATAATAGAGCCAGCTGGAGCGGGTGCAACAGCCACAACGGTGCCACTTGTAGCAGCAGCTTGTGGACGATTACCGCCCTGTAAAAAGCTGATAATACCTTGGAAAGGTCCTTGTTGGGCGGGACTGATAGTAGTACCGGCGGCTGCAGCTGCACCAGCTGGTTGATTGCCACCGACGAAATTGCTAATCAGCGACTGTATGGGACCAAGAGGACGTTGTGTGGTTGCATCGGCTGTGCTTAGCTGAACTTGTTGCGGTTGGCCACTCAAACTCGATAGTGTGTTTTGAAATTGTGTACCCAAATTATTGGCGAACTGTTGAACGCCCTGGAAAGCTTGTGAGGTGGCATTTGCAACGCTCTGTGCGGCATTCTGGACCTGAGTTATAGCGTTTTGTGGATTCAGAAAGCCGGGTAATGTGGGTGCAGGTGTGGCAGGTTGATCAGCAGCCACTTGTACGCCCGGCGTAGCCAACTGCTGTTGTTGTTGTTGTTGACCGGATAGTTGTCCGAAAAACTGACCAAGTGGCGAATTTTGTATTAGTTGTTGGACAAAGTTCGGTTGGGTGGTGGTTTGGGTGGGCGTAGCCTGTGTGGCGCCAGCAACAGCTGCCACTTGACGCAGTTGGTCGACAGAGGCAGGCGCAGGATCATCGGCAATGACAGCAGCAACCACAATGGGTTCGTTGGAAATAAGCTGTTCCACAGCAACTGCATTCTGAGACTCAGCAGGTGAACTGTCGATGACCAATGATTCGGACTTCAACTGATTGTTGCTGTTTACTCCATCGGCGGTATTTAGCTCCGTGGCAGGAGCCTCAGGTGCATTGAAATATGCGGCAGCGGCTTCAAAGGCTTCAGCCGGTACACCATCCTTCAGCTCCGTATTGATTTCCTGCGCTTGCTCCAGTAATTGCTGCGGATCCTTGGCCTCCTGTATTGGCGCTGGCTGCTCAGCAATGGACGCAGCCTGCAAAAGCTCACGATTCTCATTCAATATCGCCTGTTTYATTTCCTGTTCAATGATTTGCTCATCCTCTTGTTGTTCGCTTTTAAGCAATGCATTAGCGGTTTGCACATTAGCTGCGCTTTCAATGGGCTCTGCGATTTTCTCAGCGATGACTTCGGTTACGGGAGCTGCGTTATTTTCTACGCTGGTTTTCGATTGTGCACCTTCGCTAGCCTGAATTTGTTCTGTGTTGGTTGGTTGTGTGTTCGTCTGCGCGTTTCCCAACTGCTGACCATCTTGTATAATCTGCACCGGTATCAGATTCTGGTCAGCGGGTGCTGCAATTATATTTGCATTGCGATTTTGCCTATGCACCAGCCCAGCTTGCACRCTGGCTACGARKAACAGCAAGACAATGGGCGTCAAGCCGAGCTTTGTTAAACGCATTTTCACTTGTCGCAATTTACCACTCGTTGAAAGGTGTTAATCAGTTGGTATTTGGTCTCAACAATCACCTTGAATGCAARTCCAATATCTGTGGTTAAGTGTACGCTTTAATTAGCAAGTTCAAGTTTCCACACATAAATACAGCCAGGCAAACAATTTCACTCTTAACCAAAACGCGCCTACACCCAAAACTACCAAATGGAGCGAACKAAGGCGAGATCCAAATAAATTGAATTAAGATCGAAGCGTCAAATGTTGGTTCACTTTCAGCGCACGGCCGAAACTGTCTGATTTTCTGCTTCCGCGGCGCTTTTATACTCGACACATCGCTTGTACGACGGCATGGCACGCAGACGCAGTTCCCGCGACGCAACGTCAATGACAACAGCAACGCCCCGTTGCGGCTCTGGCGCTCTCACATGCTGATGTCGTAGCCAAGCCAATGGCGAGAGCCAATGCAGCGCCAAAGCTGTAGCCCAAACGTCTTTGCCGGCAACTGATTACTTAGCCACTTATGTATGTGGTCGGCTTATGACGACGTTAGTTACCTGAATTGCTACGGATAGTACAAGTATTTTTGTGCATTCGATGGCATWGCAGACTTTGCCATCCAAGGAAGTTGCATCGCGTGAGAGGAAGCATTTAGGTATTGTGCGAAAAACACAAGCACAGCATTGATCGTTACATCTCCGTTGATGGCATACAGCAATGATACTTTAATTTTGATTGTTTCCAAATAATTTCGAACTTGCAGAGAACATCACCAAAGAATATTATGGCAAATCTTTAAGCGCTAAGTATGTATATACTAACGGGCTCATTTATATTCAGTTTATATTATTTAATAAGAGAAAATGATGCCTGTGTACTAAATTCCATTTTACGATTATTTATATTAAAATGTCAATTGATGAAAGTTTGGTGCTATCCACTAGCACTTAATATGATATTTATATTCTTTCGGAATCAATACTAAAACTCAGGTCGATGCTAACAGTAATTCGCTGATTTCGCAGAAATGTTCTGTTTTACGCTAACCTTAATTATATCAATACATAGTTATTGCTTATGAAAAATAAAAGCAAGAAAAAAAAAACAATTATTTGACACCCTGATTGTGTCATGGTCTGTAACCAATTTGGATATTGTCAACAGATGGTCTGGAAATTTCAATTAGAATAGATCCAGCACGCAGTGARGAAAATGTAGCAGCCGTATCTGAAARTGTACACAAAGACCGTGGAGAGTTAATTCRGCGCCGTTCGCAGAAACTCGGACTGACGTATAGAATGACTTTCCTCATTTTACGCCAATATCTTAAATTGGAAGATTACAAAATACAGGTTGACTAAGAACTGAAACCAGTCGACCTTTCCAAGCGACATTGCTCCGCTCTGTGGGCTCTTGAAAAGTTCCCAGAAGATCCGATGTTTCGAGCCACATTTTGTTTAGCGGTGAGTCCCATTTCGAACTCAAGGGTGTGTATGCGATTTTGCCGCATTTGGGACGAAGAGCAATCTGAAGAGATTCAAGGGATGCCATTTTATCCAGCAAAAGCAATGGTTTGGTGTGGTTTGTGAGCCGGTGGAATCATCGGTCCATATTTGTTCAAAAATGGTCGCCCCATGTTAACCGACAATTTGATGCTTGAAATTGACGTTCGTGATCTCGGCGATAAWTAAATTCAACAAGACGGCGCCCTTCCCACATATCGCATCCATCAATGGATTTATTGAGAGAACACTTTGGTTTTGGGCTAGTTGATTGACCACCAAGGTTTTGTGATATCAATCCGTTAGACTTTTCTTTGGGGGCATGTATGTCTAAARCCTATCCTTACAATCCCGCTTCGATTCAAGCCTTGGAGCAATGTCTGTCTATCGCCAGATACAAGTGGAAATGCACGAACGAGTCATCGAAAATTGAACTCAATGGATGAAGCATTGGAGACATAGCCGTGTCCAACATTTGAAAGGGATAACCTTAAAAAAAATTTGCTAAAGAATATTCTTTGGAATGATAATAAACATTTCCCATTAAATTTGGATATTCTGTGTTTTTTTCTTAAAAAAATTAGGGAACCTTGAAATTATATCGGCATTTCTGCAATGAAGACTACTTTTTTATTTAAAAAGCTACATATATAATTGTGTTTTTCAAYTGGTTCACTGTCTAGCATCGAGTTATTTTTTAATTAGAATTGTTTGGGTGCTTGCCTACAGCGATATTACATTAAACTATGAGAGTAGGATAGGTACTTAAATCTTAGTCCCTGCAGAGTAAGTACAGGTAGAAGCCTCTTTGGCTTCTTGTGGTTCGTTACTGTACTGTTGGGTCTCAGACCAGCTCATCATGCGTTGGTCAACTACCAGCAGCTGTTACTATCAAGAAATTTCGAGGAAACATTTCGCTCTCAGGAAGGTCAACCATTCAATAGATGTAGGAGTACTCGCTAAGATTGAACATCTTACCGGATGTTAGTCATCCATGTGAATCAGCCGTTTGGAAGTAGGTGAAATAGTGCAATCTCAACACTTCCTCCTCGAATGTTCTAATTTTGTCAGATCAAGGCAAAAATACTTTAGATTTCATACGTTTAGACATCCATGTGAAAAAGTGGAAATATRAATAAAACACCTAAGCAGATATGTGATTGGTTTAGAGCGTTTTACCGATAAGTGATAGCTAACTACAGTAGTTTTCGGCCTGGCTTCACAAATGACAGTCCAAGTGTGATTATCCGCAATGCTGAGAGATCCGCCATCTTCACTGCTCACTGATTCACTGCTATTTTACTGAAATATATACTAGTTCGGCATTTAGACTATCTTCGAACAAAGAAATGTTTGTGTGTGAAATGCTAAAAGGCAACACAACAGTCGTATGTAAGTGATTAATTGTTTTATTATGACGGTCGCCTTTAAMAAGTAAAGGAAAATATTCATCAAATAACTAAGGTTCAATTATAGGTGCTGTAACCATAACCATATAAAGCAGCTGATCGAGTCAACTTTACAACTCAGCAACTCTGTTGTGGTGCCATTCCAAAACGCCATGGCCAAAACCATAACCACACCTATAAATTCAATTTTTTTGTTATAGGTATGGCATTATGGTAGATGACCTTTAATTGAATTTTAAAGAAGGAGTCTCAAATATAATTCCGATGCCTCAGAGAAGCAAATTATTTCATCTTTTTCACAACATTAACACAACTCGTGCACGGTAATTTGTCTGTCTTGAACCCAATCATATTTGCAATTTCTTAAAAACCTAAAGCAAACCTAAGCAACTGGTACATAATGGATTTAATCATGAAAAAWTTTTATTTCTAACAAAAAGGTCCTTCATTCGGAAACTCATAAACACGTAATCGCCTTAAAGCTTTAATTTCTCTTTTTTAACAGTTAAGATCGACACTAAAAGCAGCAATTTTGTGAAATTTTTGGAAATTATTTCGAACGACTAAACTATATTTAATTTGCTTATACATATCAAWTCCTTTTGGAATTGAAAACACTGAACGATCTTATGAAAGAAATGTTTCATTTTGTTGGATTACAAGTCTGTATCTACTCCAAATTAGAAAAAAATTTGACTAAGAAGAGGAATACTGTTTGACATTTTTGCTTTTTCAATTATCGAAAACGCCTTTGGAAGTGAATGTCTTGTACTCATACATATCTTCGTTGGTAAACCACAATCTAAGAATCTAATCAATCTAAGAATGTGAGTTTAAAAAATCCCTTCTTCATTTATGTAAATATACCTACCTAMAACCGTTTCTAGATACACTGACCCATTTCTCTACAATAATGTATGCTTCAACATTCAACTTTCAATTTTCTATTACGTTTGCCCTCCTGCACCGCTGCATTGTGCAGGTGTTTCTACGCCAATGCCACCAATGTCACTAATTTTACAAAGCCACACAACTAGCCGTTTTCAGGCTTCAGGTTTTCAGCCAGTACTTGAGGCAATTATAAGTGCGTACATACATACATACAAATATGCATATACATAGGGTGTATATTAGCACATTTAACCAACCGCTGCATGTCACCATGTGCATATCGGACAACACATATTCGTTTCAACTGTATATTTGCACGACATAAGAGCTGTCTCTTATACACATCTAGATGTGTATAAGAGACAGTACATAGGGTGTATATTAGCACATTTAACCAACCGCTGCATGTCACCATGTGCATATCGGACAACACATATTCGTTTCAACTGTATATTTGCACGACATAAGAGAGTTCGAGAGTTCTATCTGTTAATTGGGGTCATTCGTGTTTACTTTCATTAGTGGCTGAGGTGATGCGAACGTTTATGGAGTTTATGCTGCTGCAGCTGGTATGTGCATTTGCATCTCGGCTCTTCGGTCTTCGTTCGGTTTACGGCGATTGCTTTAATGCCAGCGCCGCTTTGTGAGCTTTGTTTCATTTACGACTGCATGCATYCGTTCATATGTTTKCATGTTTGTACGTGTCACTTGTACGGCCGTTAAATGGTTCAAGTATAATGAAAGGAAAGTAAGCTCGTTTGCATTATGGACCGGCATATCGCCGGCAGAGTAAAAGTGTAGAAAATTACTGCAGCCGACGTAGAAAATCACCAAGCGTATGCAAATCGCCTGATATGACAYACAACAAATGAGCGAGACTTTCAAAAGGACCGACCTGACCAAATGACCATCCACCCGGGCGGCTAATAGGCTGCAAAGCTTTTAGTGATACACCAACCGCTTCGGTGCATTCTTAATTATGTGAATCGAAACCAAGATTTAAGCCTAAACTTGCATATTAATGCATATCGCATATCGAATGGAATAAACAAAYAATAAAGTAGGGGGAAATCTAAAACCGTAACAAATTTACATACAAACAGTTTTCACATAAATTATTTTCTTATAATATGTAATTAAGAAATTTACATATTTATTTATAAATCTAACTAATCAGATGTTTAATCAATATTAAAATGAGCRTTTCTTATTTAATTATATATGTACGTATACAAGTTAACCGAGTTTAAGCCTTGAAGTTTTTGTTAAAATATTTATTACTTCAATGTTATCAGAAATGTAAATATTAAGGTTTACTGTTATATGTTTAATTACCATTAACTAACTAGTATAATGTAATATAAAAATTCTCTTCGCAAACACTTTACAGAACGAACCGTGCATGAAAATGCATACATATTGTTCCCGGTGATCCGTTTATAGGTTGCCTACTT